ATCCCCAGGGAAGGAAAGGGTCAAACATCAGCTTATTACTGTTAGACACTGGAGAACTGACACTAGGGAGAGCCCGCAAAGTTGCCCTACACAGAGGAAATGTTTCGATTGGAGTTCAGTCAGCCACATCAAAGGATGTTATTGAAAGAGATCTGTGCAAAAGATGAATCTGTCCCTTAATCTCTGAAGAAAAAACACATGAGCAGACAGTTCTCCATTGCAGAGGGTTAAGTTAATGTGACAAAGATGATTTGAACCACTAGTTATGTCTTGGGTGATAGTTTCAGGGAAGAACATGATTCAACTTGAGAGAGGAGCAACTCCAACAAAGTTAAAATACAATAAAACTGAGAGAAGATAAAAGATTGCAAAGCTTCACGTTTTACTTGAAACCAGCAGAAAGAAAACTACATTTTCAACTATTTATCTGATAGAAAACATGGTGCATCATTGATGACAACACTTTTACTATTAAAAATACAGTAAATAGGATTACAATTGCATGTGGATATACTGTAATTTCTTATTTCTCTGCAGTACAGTTGCATCATCTAGTGGACAACACAGGGATTGCATTAGTTTTACACAGTTTAGTTTGGGGTTCATTGAGTCTCTTTGCTTTTCCACTGAATACAGCTCATTGCAGTGCTTTCTAAAACTTAATTCTGGAATTATAGATATCCACTAAAATATTCAGTAGAATGAATTGGAAATGTATTTTTTGTTTTTTTCACTCCAACGTGCAACAGACTGATGCCACCTAAGTGTTGCTGCAGATAGCAATAAAATCATTAGTTTTCTAGTTGAATCCAGTCACTAAGCTGTGATTTCCCTTCTTTTGTGCTGAAATGATAAAAATCATTAATTTCACATTGTTCAAAACCAATTGCTAGTCCAAACTGAGGGAAAAATTGTACATCCTTTAACAACTTCTTCAGTGCATATGTATCGTGTAAAGAAACTAATAAATTTTCTTTTGGGACAATTCCACCCTAGAGTTCACTATCTTCATCTCTGTAGTCACAGATGTGCTGAGTGCAATCAAACACTTCAAATTATGCCAAACTGTGGCATTTTTAAAGGGGTATTCTTTACCTTCTAGGTGGGGAGGGACTATGTACCCTGGGAGACATCATTTTTAAAAGCTTTCTTTGGGAATGTCATCTTTGAAATGTTTTCATAGTGTACCTAAAAGCTTTAATTATCAGGGTATGAGAGTTGATACTCCCTTATCTTGTCCTGAAACAGACAGGTCTAAAGGCACTTAGTAATGATGGATGATCTCCACACATTACAGCCGAAGAAAACTGTAAACTAGAAGCCACTCTCTGTAGAAGATCAAAGAAAATCCATGCTGTATTTACATAAATTGTCACAGGAAAGATACTGTCATGAGGTTTCATGTTTATCATTTTTCAGTGACTTCAGACTGCACTAAATCAACTCCCTCCTCTCAAAAAAAAAAAAAAAAAAAAAAAATCAAGCTGTGCTATTTCGGTCTTACACTGTTATCACAAGAAATAAAGCTTTTCTCATTACACCTACCCAAACCCAGTGTCTTCACTGCAGTCACAGAACACAGTCCTACTTTAGCTCTCTCTGAGTAACACTGCATAAGCTGGAAGAGAATCTAGCTCACTGCCATGGTCTATACTAGGTTGGTATTGCTGATGGTAAAAAGCTGCGGTTTATTCCTGCTATTGCTGAGATTTGCAGATACAATCTGAAAGGAAATTTATACAAAGAGGGAAATTCAGTATGCCTTTCCACACTAAGATCACAGCTAAATCCCTTCTTAGACTAACAGAGAGCCAGAGCCAAATGTTAACAGCATGTCACTAAAGCTAAGCAATTAAGATGTTTGCAGCTCAGAGGGGTTCCAGTTAAAGCAGAGGCTGAGAGTAAGCATCTTCACTCTTTGAAAACTTGATTGAGCGCTCTGTAAGACAGCTGGAGAGCACTCCCAGTGCAGTTACTTCCTCAGGCACCCTAGCTCTTAGCCCAGCTTAGGATGCCCTGTCTTGCATGTAGTTTAGGTTTGATTCAAAAAAAGAATTTAAGCTTTTGCTGACTAGGCATATATAAATGCTGAATCATGACCTGTGTTACACTGGTTTATTCCTGTTAAAAATCCACTAGCTCCAGTTCCATAGTTTATACAGGCAGGATTTTGTCTTTGACATTAAACACACGTGGCTCTATTCAGAACACTCACTACAGTGCTTAAGGTAAAGCTGGGGGCTTACTGCTGTGCTTACATGCAAGAGGCAGACAAGCAGTTCATATTGCCCACTCTCCCCCACTGCCAGATCCCCTTCCTACACTCCCTGGAGGGCATGTAGGAGTTACAACAGTAGAGCCCATATTCAAACCACCTGGTATCAATGTGTGGTCTATAGTGCAATACTGAAGCAAATAAACTTCTGTCAAACTAGTATCCATCTTGCAAGACACATCATACAGAAGTTGTTCTTAAAATAGCCATCTCCAGAAAAAAGGGGGGGAAAAAATGACCAAACATCCTTATCTTCTTTAACTCTGGTACCATCTCATTATAAAATTATAAAATGAGAAACACATCTGTTCTTAGAGAATGAAAAATTTTTTATTAAAATAAAGTCAGAGGTCAACCAGTTCAAGTGTAATCATCAAAACTGCAGGACATGTTCAAAGCAAGGATCCTTCTAGCCCAGTACCCTGTTTCCCACAGTATCCACCAACACCTTAAAAAAGCAAGCACAGGTCGAGCATACACAATACCTGCCAGTAATACCCTTCTAACCTTCAAGTATTTTGAGATCAGGGGACTATGCAAGACCAAAGTTGGCTGGCTGGCTGGCAACTGCTCCATCTTCTGTGTATATGTGCTCTGCATCCATGTCAACTTTTGTATCCTTAGTAACCTCCATGGATTTGCTACCACATTCTGTTAGTTTTGAACCCAATTCCTTCAAGCTTCCTTTGAAAGTCCTTACTTCTTGCACTGTGACTGCTCAGTCACCATCCACCCTTTTCATGTCATCCATGACTCCTGTAGACTTTTTTGTAGACCTAGTCAAAATGAATGAGCAACAGTCACAGGGTCAGGCTCTCAGCCCCGCCAATCTTTGCTGTAGCCAGGTTCAGGGGTACAGAAGGACCCTTACGCGAGCTGATGAGAATTGCCCTTGGTGAGATTAACAGATGGCATTCCCAAACCCAGTCATCTCATCCCAGGAGGTACTTCAGAACAGGCCTGACTAGAGCATAAAATACGATGCCAAGTGACTTTCAGGGGTTAAAACCACAGTTTAGGCAAATATGAAAGTAAGTTGGCCCAAAAGATGTAATAAATGCGCTTCTCGCTCCAGAAAGCACTTCAGTTCCTCTCCCAACCCATTCACCCTGCCCTCTGCTCTGAAATGCAAAGTGACCACACAGTCAGCATCTCTGTATGAACAACAAAGAAAGCCTGAGAGTACAAGAGAGTCTCAGTGCATTAGGGTAAACAAGGCAGAAAAAAAGCTTATTTTCAGAATTTCCTAATCCTAGGAAAAGGTTATACAGATGGCACCTCAAAACCAAGAATTTTTGTTTTTGAAAACTGAGTAACAGCAAACAGTTACACTGCAGTTCCCCCAGTCTTTTGAACCTAACCCAGAATTTCCTTCTGGGTAAGGAAGGGCCCTTCTTAGAGCTCCAGGTAGTAAGACATTTCCTGCCCCAAATAGATCGAGGCAGAAAAAAGAGCAAGGAAAAGCCCTGGAACTCTCATATCCAAGCACATTTACACAGTAACATGCTTGTTCACAAGGTACCAAAGAAAGTCTGAAAGGGCATTTGAGTTTGAATACTTAACAGTTTTCATTTACTGGATTTTTTTCCTTAAATGATATCATTAGCAAGAATGCCTTTACTATTGTGTACAAAATTTCATTTATTTCAAAAATAGAGGTCCTGTAGAAAATGAAGCAGTATATTTACAAAAATAAACACTTTTTAAATACACAGGTCTTAAAAATTGCTAAAAAAATAATGAAAAATTCTATAAAATGTGATTCCCCACAAAATGGAAAATAATCACAATTACAATTATAAATTACATTTATACAGCTTAAATAAGGGTCCTGCCCTGAAATGCCTTTTGAAGAAGTCTCCCTTCTCCAAACAACATAGGGAGCTCAAGCTCCCTACCTGAGTAGAACTAATACTTAAAGGCAGCTCATGAGACTATCCCCTCACAGATAGGATAGGAACACTTCCCAGTGTGATCACCAGAACCAAGCGGAAACAGAAGGAATTGCCTGGGTGGTCTTCCAAACAAGGGAGTTCAAAGCGATACATCCTTTCAGTTCTCATTCCCAGCAGGAGGAGTCAGAACAGGAACTACCAAGCCTGGAGGGAGCCTTAAGAGTAAAGGAGGGAAATTCATGCTTCCTTACATTGTGAGAAACACTTGGGCTGAAACTGTGAAGGGAATGATTTGGAGTTGGTCACAATAGGGCTGATCTGTGCTCTAGTCCTCATCTGTTACTCCAGCAATGAACAGGCACTACATGACCTGCTAAATCTTGGGGACATGCATAGATCTCAGGGAAAAGTAAAGGATCAGTACACGACAAATAGAAGTGGCTCTGTCCTCTTCCTCTGTCTAGCACCGGAGCTCAAATAAATGCCGAGGAGTATCTGCTTGACCCTACAATCCACGCTTTAGCCACACAGGCAGCTGTAAAGTCTAGGACTGCTGGAGCCCACAATCGTGGGGCTGCTCAAATTACCCCAGAAGCTGTTTTGTTCACTGCAGCCACGATTTCAATGAGATGTGATGAAAGCCACCTGTGTTCCCCCAGCATAACCCTTTGTATTACTGAAGGTCAGCAAGGAACTAAATAAGACTCTGGGTCCTGTGTGATCCTGTAAAGAAAACTAGGCATATTCTGATGACTTTTTACATTATTCTTTGCTGCTCAGGTCCATTAAAACAGTTGAGCAAGGTGCATCCATGGCAAATGAGCTATCACAGCTCCAGATGGGTCAAGTTGTTGCCATATTCAAGTTGCAAAGAATCTCAGCTGATTTTTGTAGTATCTTCAGATCTTCCAAGCGTAGTGCTTCTACCAAAGCCAGGTGTTTTTTCAGGTTCTCTTTGTTCCTTTTCAACTGGGAAATCTGAAGTTTGTACAAATAGGATGAAATTACTAAAAATTCAGATTATTTAATGTAGCACATGAACATGAAACTTGTGGAAAGCTCATCTGTGGTAGTGATTCCATAAACTATGTCAAAATGCAGTATTTTTTTTAAATTTTCTACAAGAGAAACTGTAAAAGAAAAAAAAAGAAAAAGGAAAAAAATCATCACATGGACAGGAAGCAGATCAAAAACCAGGAGAGGAAGGGAAACATTTACCTGATATCAGGCTCCTAAGTCGATACTATCCTCAAGATGTTGCTCAAGACCAGATTCACCTTGTAGTCTGTGCATATATATGTTTCCTTTGCAAAAGTGTGGTTTTAATAACCCTTTTCCATGATAGCTATCCAACTTGACATTAAGTACACATGTTGTTTGCCAAAATTCAAAAAGGAAGGAGAGATTGGGTTTTTTTAAGAGCACAGATCTCCCTCACAGGAGACTGGCTGACATGGGTAGCTCATTTGACTTAACTGCCTTTAATGAACACAGCCTTCACTTTCCACAACAATGCACTCATAGCAGGTCTGCAACATCGTATGTGCCCACCAGACAAAGCCTGCATTGTCTTTTAAGAGGTAACCTCAGCAAATACACTGATACTGTAGGCAGAGAAAGGCTAAACGTTTTTCACTTGTTTACTTGGAGAAGCTTTGTAACATGGTTCCTTTCTTTGCTGCAGCTACAAATTCTGCTGAGCAATTCAGTGCTGTCAGCCGCCCTGGAAACAAATTCTATGCCACCCTAGTGCAGTCAATTCCCTCCGTCACTCTGTTCTCGCCCCAGAAAATTACACTGCAGTACATTTATGCTAGGAGAGAAAGGAATCTGGGCTACCTCATTCTTCCAGTCAAATTACCTGGAGAAGGACATGCTGTGTCTCCTCTATTAAAAAATGACATATTTTTGCTGTTATATTCAAAGTCTGCTGTTCGTTTCTGGCTGAAATTAAATCACCAAGCAGCGTTCTCCTCCAGCAAGTACTAGAACCAAAATGATTGAACAACACACAATCATTTGCTGTATTCCCCAGCTGAATGATAAACATATGGTTATGCTAAGAATAACATCACTGGCATAAGGCAAGTAAGGTTAGCATACGTGAAAAAGGCACATGGCATTCAGATACGAGACCAATAAGACAAGCAAAAGAGAAAAGAGATTTAATGGTCTGGAGCAGCGGTTCCAATCCTCCACACCCACCCCCACCCTTTCAGCCCAAGCCACAGTCTGCACTTAGACCAATGCTGATGAGAATTGCCCAATTGCCAACGCTGATGAGAATTGACCAATGGTCTCTGCTGCTCTGCCATGCTGCCACCAACTTCAGTAGCACCAGTGAGGAGTAAAAGCTATTAAGTCAGAACTCAGTAGCTTGGCTTCTGCTAAACTTCACCTCACATGCTGACACGTTTCATGGGTTTGAAACCCGTACCATGGGGATTTATTTTTAGTTCTTATAATCAACTTATTCCAATGAATCTTCAAAGCATAAACAGCTTTGAACAAGGTGGGGGGGGGTAATTTATTTACTTTTACAACCAAAGCGCAGGTAACCATTTTCTGTCTGAGCCATGCTGTTTGAGGTAAATTTGCCATTTGGAACAAATAATCAAAACTGCGCTGACAGTCACTGGAGATGAATTCAGCAACTTATTTGGCCCTAGAATTTCAGAAGCAGCCTGCAGAACACATGCTTTAAAGAAATCAAGCAAGGTCAATACATTTAAAAGTCTCATCAAACCAACAGGAAAAAGATCTGGGGTCTGAACCTTAAAGTAATATCTGAGTCTCATAATGGAAAGGGAAAACAATGGGGTATGTTTACTGTTTAATACAAGAAAGCGTAAGACCAAAGTAGCAAATATGCAATGACTTTACATTATATAGTGTTCTCTGCCTTTCTTTTTTGAATTCTCACCTGGAGTCAATAAGATACACCCAGGAGATACAAATAGTTGTCCCAGTGTCTCACACACAGCCAGCAAAGAGCAAATAAAGGAAAATGGCATATGCACATTGTCTAAATACTCAAAAAGTACTGAAACTTACAATTCATCTGCTTCAAGACATAACAACTTGAGGGCTGTGAGGAGTCTCCAAGACGGTCCATCCCATCCAAAGGTCAGGTTTCTAAAAAGTCAGAAGTGATAAGATGCAGGAAATATAGGTGATCTTTTACAGCATGATAGCTTTCTTCCTGACAAGCGTTAACAAGGGAAGACCGGGTCTTCAGAACTAGGGGACTCCCTGACTCCCCTTACTCTGCTGCTATCCACAGCTACGAGACAGCCTGGACCTTGAAAACTCTCTCAAGCTTTGATATTGGTGTTTACCACTTCTACATTCTCTCACAAAAAGCAAACAAATCAGTTGCTTAATAAACCAAATAATCATTTTATGCTGCATTGTGATACTAGAAGAAAAATTTGACTCCCAGAAAAATTGAAAAGAAATCTCACAGGGAAACAAAATCTCCCAATACCTACTCTAAGAAATCATGATCCTTTAGAATGGAAAGTTTTGCATTTCTCTGCTTGTCCAGTGGTGGAAAATATCTGAGGAGAGTATCTGCATAAAAACACATTTTAGATATTTAAATAAATGGTATGTAGAAGAAACCACAATCCTCAATTCTGAAATAATGTTTCAACCATGTTTTTCAAGTAGCTACCAAAACCTGCTACATTTTCGTGAACTTTAACATAATCAAAAATGTATCTACTTTGCAAAAGCTATCCACAATCTCCAGGATTGTATCCTTATAATGGAAACCCTGACTCAAACTGAAGTTATAAACCATTCTCAGCAACTTCAGTTTATGGGGATCAGGATTTAAATCCTGAAGTCAATGGTGCAATCTAAGACATTCAATTGGAAACTCTACATACATGCTGGTAAGAATTGCAATTTTACAAAAGGAAAAGTTACCAAAGAACACTTTCCATTTTAAAACTCCAATTCTTAAATTCTAGGCAGTTCAAAGTGGTATCAAACTCTATTCCACATCTTGGAAATACATACAAATATTTTGATGGTACTTAAAAAAAAAATCATAATGCCTTATAAGCATCGTGCATATTGTGCACTGTGCATATATATATATGCAAGTGCGTGAACATCTTCACTATCCTTTAGTTACCCCTTTTTACCCACATCTCCTGTTGAAGACAGACAGCATTAATATGCCCAAATGCTCTGCTCTCTATTGTTGTACTTTTCAATGTCAAGACAATCTATAAATCCAACCTGATGAGACATAAACACTGCTGTGAGGGTTATCAGTGGCAACAAATCCATATTCCAGTAGCAGTCGCTGATTATCATGGGGCCCATAACAGATAAATACTTCTTCATATTTTTTGCACTGTGAATTTGTCCAAATTTCATAGCTTCTTGTCTGCTCATTAAATGCAGCCTTTACCTTTGAGAAATTAAAAATAAAAGGTTTTACTCTTGACAGGAAGACCAACTAAAAAAAAGAATCAGATCCTGAATATTAAAACCCATGAGTATTGAACATTCCTCTAACACTGGTACAAAACAGATAGGGTTACAGATGCCTGAAAAGGCAACCCATTTGGACAATTCCACACCAGGATTAGTCTATAAATACTAGTATAAAGAAGAACAAACATCAAAACCTTAGTCCACAGGATGTGCCGCCCACTGCGCAGACGTATTACAGAGGCCCCAATTTTACAAATAAAGATGGCTTCAGGCAGAGTTGGCTACTTCTATGCTGTCCCAGCTCTATGTTGGCACATAGTCCCTGATATAAGGTAGAACTGCTTTATACACTTTCCTAAGGCTGCCCAGAAGCTTCAGCCAGAGGTGAAGTAATACAGGGACCATGTATAACTTGAGATTTGTCTCAGGAGCTGAGCCTTTTGAGAGAGCAGAGCAGGGTTATATTTACAAGCGGCTCTTCCCAATAGCTACCCCAGACACCAATCTCGCCCAACCTTTGTGGGCTCTCCCTGTACTTTTGCTTTGCTACATAAACTGAAACATTCAAATCATCTTTATTCAGCTGCCTTGGGGTGAATAACAAGCTCCAGGGTATATACAAACCATGGGTGCTCAGCCTGTGCGTGACCTCGGTGGACAATTTCCCCCCATGAGAACTCTCACAGACTTCCAAACACTCCTAATCCATCACATAAATGCATACTGTATTGAGATATTGCATTCACAAATAAAGAACTTAAATGATCTCTTTTTAGTTTCTTACCTGTACATTTGGTCTGTGGTTTAGCAAATCTAAATATGGTGCCAATGCATAAACATCTGGCTCAAGAGAAAAACATTCCCTCTGTGAATGTTTCATGTATATTGTCCTGGTATTAACAGTGCACCAAGCCCACTCTAGAGCACTGTAGTTAAAAATAGTCCCTGTGTTCTCAGCAAACAAAGGCTGCAGGGAAGAGAAAAAAGCTTTGGAAGACATGTACAACTCATGGACCATCGTTCTCTGCTCCTGAGCCTTCTTTCTTAATGGTTCAGGAAGAAGGCTCACTACATCGTGCTCCAAAGAAACAGGACAAGTGTATGTATTGGGTAAAACATCAAGATACGGCTTCCACAGTGACTTCTCACCAGCATGCTTCTCCGCTATTAAAAACGTGCACAGTGCTATCAAAGGAGATACGGGAGGCTTCCATCTATCAGAAAATAAAATAAAAATACAACATAGCAGATACACAGAGATGAGATAGGAAATGGATGCAGCAGTATTTTATTTCTCTTCTAGTTCTTTTAAATGTTATAAATAGCTTCTATTTTAAACTTCTTTGTAGTTCATTTCCAAGTCCTTTTGATGATTTCAAAGGAGCTATAAAAGCTGGTTTGTAGTATCAATTTCAAGTTCACCTCTTGGATTGTTTTTATTTGGGGTGGAGGGGGTTTAAGATACATAATAAGTACTCAATGTCCAGCATAGGCCTTTGTTCTGAATTTTCTAAGTTCACGTGACTGCTTTGCAACCCCACTTTATCCTCTTCCTATTGAAGCATATTCACGGATTCCCCAGAAACCATTCGTAACTGGCATGTAGGTCCAAGCTGGCTCTAGAGACAGATCAGGTTCAAGCCTGTACTATCCCTCCAACTCTGCCTAGTTAAAAGGGGATGCTCTGTGTCCAAACCTTACTTATCTAAGCATTCCACACACATGAAAATCCACAAGAAATACTCATACAAGTTAGTATATGCAGTTTAAAGTCCTACCACCACTTAAGATGATTAATCGAGTAATGAGCAACCCACAGTAAAGGCCAGCTTGCCCATAAAGTCTCACTTTTCACTTACTTCATAATGTATTTTCCCAAGCAGCTACTAAGGACAGTGCCCGTGGTGAGTAAGCATTTCTCAGGCAATGAAATAATCAGATCCCCTGCCTTTGAGGGAGGGGGGAAAAAAAAAAAAAAAATCACACACAAAGAATAGTAAAGGTCAAGTGTAAATGACTCATCTACTATGTGACTTCTGAACAGAGACACATTCCCCAGAGAACACTAATGTGAGGAAGCAAACAGATGTGATGTAAAATTGATGGAAACTGGCATGGTTTTAAGAGAGTCACAGTCCTGGGAAGGAGGATAATTGCAGTCAGAGGAACTGTCACCTACAGAAAGTTAGCTCTTCACAGAAAGTCTGGTGTCTGGCTACTCACTTTCTTTGCACTGAGATATATTTTAGATTAGATCTCACAAATACCTTAAGTTCTATCAACATAGTAGTATGGGGTAGGCATATTTTAGGTCATGTCTATCCTGACTTTGTCTGCCAAGCTGCTGTGTGTGTAAATTAACTTTCATGAGCCATATGTAAGGAGAAGAAATAACTCAAGTCATTAGTCTCCCATTCCTCTCCTAAGTTTCCCTATCCTACTCAAGCCCAGTTGAGTCTAGCTCTCATTTCATTCACTGCAGACTCTCAGTGCTGTGGATAACCTGAGCCTCTGGCTTCAACTGCTGGCTCTAACCCTGAGCCAGCATAAGAATATACACTGTTGTCCACACATGACTCCTCCACTGCATCTCATTCCTACTCTTGCTATACTCTCTATTTTGCAACAGGCTCTGGGTCTGATTCCCCATTATTTGATATTGTGTTGGGTCTGGCTGAGATGGAGTTAATTCTCCCCACAGCAGCCCTCATGGTGCTGTGCTGTGTATTGGTAGCTAGTGAATTGTTGATAACACACCAGTGTTTTGGCTACTACTGAGCAGTGCCAGCACACATCAAGGCTGTCTTTCCAACATTTCTTTTTCCCCAGCAGCAGGCTGGAGGGGAGCAAGATCTTGGGAGGGGACACAGCTAGGACAGCTGACCCCAACTGACCAAAGGGATATTCCATACCATATGACGTCTGCTCAGCAATAAGAAACTGAGAATAGGGGGAGGAGCAGGGTGGGGGCATTCGTTGTTTTTGTTTGTTTGTTTGTTTTTTACAATGTTTGTCTTCCAGAGTAAGGGGCACGCATACTGAAGCCCTACTTCCCAGGAAGTGGCCGGACATCGCCTGCTGATGGGAAGTAGAGAATAATCTTTGCTTTTTGCTTTGCTTCCGCGCACGGCTTTTTGCTTTAGCTACATTAAACTGCCTTTATCTCGACCCATGAGTTTGGGGTTGTTTTTCTCCATCTTCCTTTCTCCCCTCCCTGCCTTGCTGAGGAGGCGAGTGATACAGCGGCTCTGGTGGGTGCCTGGACCCCAGCCAGGGTCAACCCATCACAGATATACTACTCTCATACTAGTTAGGAAGCTTCTTCAACAAGTCTATTTTCCGAGATGCACTTTTCAGTCAGAGTTTAGTCTTTCTGTGACAATATCTGAAGGGCAAGGTATTTTCTCTATCATTCCCCTTTTCTGCTGGGAATGATAAAAATTATGACTCTATTAGCTGGTCTATCAACAACGAAGACGGCCATAAAAGTTAGGTTAAAACCACGGTTTCACATTATGACTAAGATAATCTAAAGCCAAATGCTGCTTAAAGCCCCATCCCTTTCCTCCACCCTCCTTCCTGATATGCCATCCCTCCCTTTGTACCAGCACTGGTCTTACCAAGGTGGGAGACATCAAGGAGCAAAGCTATCAAAGCTAATAATTTTTTTGAAGAGAGAGTTTTTGGTTAGTTTAGCTTCCTGATGCAACTTACTGCACAAGCGAGGAAGACTGCTACAGCCAGTGCAAAAGAAGCTGTGGGAGCCAGTGGCTGAGGGAAAAGGCATACAGGAGGGAAGAGGCCAGCTCCTTCTGGTTTCAGTTAGCCACTGATTGCCTTAAACTGAAACACAAGACTATATACTAAAGCTCTGTAAATGAGTACAGGAATGTCTTCATCCTACAAGTCATTGGGGTACATAGGATATCATCTTATAGATATGCCAACACTGCAAATTCTGGTATTAAGCTAGAAATTACATTCACAACAGGGACCCGGAATTTTGAGCTTTGCTTGTTGCAAAAAGTCATTACATCTCAAAGAACCTCAGGAGCAATTGCATTAGAATCAACGTTACTAACCTGAAGAGCTTTTGTTGCCATCAGTCCTCTTCCTGTATCTGAAGCAGGAACAAAGAGAATACTTAAATACACGTATATGTGTAAAATACAGGAGACTATGATAAGCTGCAATAAATTAACAGGCCAGCAAGGAAAAGCTCTAAAAGAACATATCTCTTACAAATTGTAAAAGTCAATTATGGATTGTTCCAAATATATACCTCATCTCTTTATTCTCTGATTCTCTTTTTAACTTTCCAGGACCCTGTGAAAGCCCTTCTCATGCATTCCCTGCAATGCTTGCTGCCCAGTTATTGCTCAATTTCTTTTCCTTGATTTTTTCTTTAGCCACATCTTTCATCACTGTCTGCTGTTCTTGGTTTCAGCGTTTTATCTAAACTTTACAAATGCTATTAGCAATATTTTTTCTCTGATTCTTACTACTCCTTCTTTAATAATGCAAAAGTTTTGAAACATAATCCAATTAAAGAGAAAAAATACAAGTATATGCCTTTATTGTAAACAGTAATAAGTGAATCCCAGCTCTAAAATTATTTACTTTTCTGTATCACTAGGTCTGCTGAACTTGTATAGAAAAAAAGATGATGATAACAAGGTTAGGTTCTGATACTGGAAACACTTAAGAGATATTACTTTCTTCTTTAAAACTGTGCTACTAACACTTAAAATGTTGATTTCTACAAGGAATTTGGCACAGGTGATTGTTTTGTAGCATACCAGAGTATTCTCATACCAGAGTTTTACATGAGAGCATCTTTATATAAAAAACAGTTTACAGTATTTCAGGCCTCCATACCTACTTGTTTACATTACATGACATCCACTTGCATTTGCCATAAGTCCTTAAAGGACTAACGGTAACGGCTTTTTTTCTTGATGCCAGCCAGGTGTGTGATTCAAAATGAAACCAGGAATCTAACACTCTTAGAAGAATGAAATATGTACCACCAATGGATAATTAAAATGTTACCCCAGAACTGTGCTGGCCTTAAATTCTTGTCTTCAAATCCTCTCTCTTTCAGCCACTTCTTAAGTTTAATGTATTCCAGCTTATGACTGCAGTTGACTAAAAAATAAAAAAGAGGGGATTAATGCTATAAAATAGGACTGTATTGGAAAATAAAGGAAATTGAAAAGTACCTCCATCCATGAAGCTCTGCAAGTGTTTTCTTCTTCTCCTTCGACCTGTCCGGCCTCTGTTTTTCTTCATATTAAGAAACAGATTTTGCCTTACTTAGGCAACCTGAATAAAAAAAAAAATAAAAATATTTAAAGTCCCTTTGAAATACTGCATGTTTCCTTTATCTCAATAAGAGAAATCACAGCACAGCCTGTTTAATAAGCTGCCTCTTTAAAGTTTAGAAAACGCATTTCACGCTAACCCCTGAGGGAAGGTGGGTGACCGGGAGCGGGGGTAAGCCTGGATCTCCAAACATCAGCTCGGCCACGGCATGGCCCTAGCCCCGGGCTTCCCTGCCGCACGGGTAGGCCTCTGCCCTGCTTCCTGCTCTGACAGACGAAACCTCCAAAGGCCCGAGGGAAGTGAACTCCGCTTAGGACCGCCTGCGCTCCCTCTCATTTTAAGACACTGGAAACTGAAGAGCGTGACGAGAAATCTCGTCTCCCCTCTTCGGCCCAACAGCGGCTCCGGCTCCCGATTCCCTGTGGGCTGAATTCACCATGGAGAAGAGGGCAAAGGCAGACACAACG